TGCGCTTTTCCTGGAACTCACTTGGTAGTCCAGGCTGGCCTCAAACTCACAGAGATCTGCCTGGCTCTGCCTCCCGAGTGCTGGGATTAAAGGGATGCACCAACACCATTCAGCTTCAATAAAGTTCTTTTTTTTTAAAATTTTTTATTTATAATTTTCTTTTTTTAAAAAAAGACTTAATCATTTATTATGTATATAGTGTTCTGCCTGCATGTATGCCTGCAGGCCAGAAGAGGGCACCAGATCTTGTTATAGATGGCTGTGAGCCACCACGTGGTTGCTGGGAATTGAACTCTGGGCCTCTGGAAGAGCAGCCCGTACCCTTAACTACCCAGCCATCTCTCCAGCCCTCAATAAAGTTCTTACTGGGAGTTTTCTCCAAGGAAATGGAAGGCCAGTTCTACAATTTTTATAAACGTTTATAGGAGAGGTGGCTCTGTGGGTAGGGCCTGGAGTTCGGGTGTCCAGAGCCAGGTGTAAGCGCCCTCAGTTTGGTACGGAGACAGGAGAATCGCTGGGGCTTACTGGCTGTCAGCTCAGCTCTTCCGGTCACGGAGAGAACCGGTCCTAAGGGAAGAGGGTGGAGGGCAATAGGAGAACATCTGACATTCTCCTTTGCTGGCCTCTGAGAACGGGCATGCGCATATATCACACCTACACATTTCCACACACATGAAACAAGAAAGGGGAGGAAGGAAGAAGGGAATATTTGTGTGGAAGAACAAAGCTGCTTCTGCACAAGAATATAGTAGGTTGGCCCACACTGCCGTTATCAAGGCCCAGTATAATTCTACAGTCATCACAACAGGTCAAACAGGTCAAAAGAACAGAAAGAGAGCCCAGAAATGGACCCAGGTGCACATACCACCTTGCTTACGGCAAGAAAGAACATTGCTGAAGGGCACAGGGGTAGAAGGTGGGCTATTTGGTGTTTGTGTTGGGGTTACAGGTTTTCCATACAGGAAGACCAAACAATCCCTACACCCTCTACCATCCACAAAAATCAAAACAAGATCAATGGAAAGAAAGGATGCACCGAGGAAACAGTTGGGAACACATTTTTTGGATGAACTTTGAAGACGTTTTTGCCCTGAGAAGGAAGTAGTTCCCCTTGTGATTCCTGTACCCTTTGCTCCTGCTTCTTTGGGTCTTGGTGACTACTACTTGATTAGCACGGTGATCCATCAGGAGACATGGCTTGGAGCAGGGATGCCCTGGAGGATGCCCGCCCGGGCGTGACCTTCTACTCTCTGCTCGTGCTCTTTGGCTTCTTGAGCCTCCTTGTGGGTTTCCTTGCTGCTACATGTCTTCTCTGTCTGTCTGTCTGTCTGCTGCTTCTAGGTTGGCCAGAGGTCAGGTCTGGAGCATGGGCAACTCCTAACCTGCTGAGGACTGAGGAAAACGATACAACCGACTGTCAGTACCGTCTTTTGTCCT